AGTGTTATTGGCTGTTTGACTTGGTTACTATGTTCATTTGGATACCTTTGTGTAGCAACTGTTTTATATCAATTAAAATTTTCTAATAAATAGTAATAGAATCATTGTATTTACTTTCAACTAGTTCCTGTTCTTTGGAGTCAACAGCTTATTTTAAAGTATACTGGAATACCCTATGGATTGATAAGTTTGTATTAGTAATAATGCTATCAATAACTGTTTCCTTGCTTAGTGTCCCAATCCCTACATTTCCATGACAAAACTAACAGAAATATTGTAATGAACACAAATGTTTCTTCCACTAGAAGAATGCATCATTATTCATGGTTTATTTAACAAGTATAGGCTTGAAGAACAAAGTAGATTTTCTAGTTTGGATTTAACGTAGACAAGGGTGTGTATATGTTCAGAATGTTAAAATTGTCAGTGAGTATCATTTTGGTTTGGTTAGCTTTATATAAAAGAAGGTTGAGAAAAAAGTAACTTCTAAAACAACCTCATGTCCCTTCCATTACCTCCAGGTAAGTCCCATGATCTTATGAATTTGCCCTTTCAACAGAAAAGAGCTAATCTCACTGAGACTGAATTATCAGCATAAGCTAATGAATCTTGCCTTTAATAGTTTTATGAAATCAGCTACAATGATCAAATTCTCTGGCATGATTGATTTATGAGAAAGCAAATATACATAACTGGAAACTATAAAGATGATTTAATCTAGATTGATTATGGTCAGTGATTTAAAAAAAAAGCTTCCTTGGAAGTTTTGGTTCATTATTAATGTGAAATAAAAGTTGAATGAAGATATTTTATAAGCATTGAAAGAGCTGTTCAAAATGGAATGAGTTGTTTTGGTAGTGAATTCCTATCACCAGTCATATCAAAGACTTGGTGACCACTTCCCAGAAATGTTGTTGAAGAGATTCATTTTCAGGTACAGAACTGAATAGATGACTTCTGAGGTTCTTTACAATTCTGACATGCTATAATCTTTTTCAGTAGAAAAGTGATTTGTTTCATTTCAAAACTTCAGGAACATCCCTGCTCCTCGTATCTCATTTTCTTCTAGCTTTATCTTATGCTTTCTGAGTTTAAATTAATTATGAATCTATATTGTTCAATCACATTGTTTTCATATGGATATATTCCAGTCTGTTTACTTACCTTAGGAATTAAAGCAAAAATGGGTCTTAGAGATCATCTAATCAAACCTCTCGTTCTATTTATTAAAAAAAAATTCCAAAAACTTGGTCAAATGACATGGCAAGTTAACAAAGGAGGGGAGATTCAAACCCAAGTCCTCTGCTTCTAAATTCAATTCCTTTTGTTCTCTACCATACAACCTTATTGTTTTATTCTTGTCATTGAGACAACACCATCACTAAATTGCCCGTGGTAGCTGGTAGCTAATTCACTGGTAGCTAAAACAGCTTGGCATCTGTAGTTTCACAAGATTACTCTCATTTTTAAGTTTAATCACAAGATTACACTCATTTTAAGTCCCCTCACTCAAAAATAGGATTATGATAGTTTCCTTAAGCAGCATAGGGAAATACTCATGATTGCAGGCTATTAGACATATTTTCCAGACAGCAGCATGTGCATGACTACTACGTCTGATCATAACAAACCCATCTCCACTCCAGTAAAATTCAACAAGTGTAGGATACTTGAAAGGTCTTGGAGGAAAATACACAACTATTCTTCAAATGTAGTCTGATTTTGCTCAGTATTCCTATGAAATTTACTAGAAGGCTTTCATTACTCAAGATCTGAAACTGCTACTATTCCCTATTTTCTAGCCTTTCTTTCTGTTCAATAAATACTAACTTATCCATAAAAAAGATGGTAATGTATAACTTTATTATAGAAAGTCTTCACTATGTCTCAGACCTATGAATAGATTGCTACCAAGTCAAGTAAGGCTAAAATCAACTGCTGCTAGAGTACAAGAGGATATTTTTATTTAACTTTTGTGATATTTATTTTTAAAATAACATCCCAAGTTCAAAAGATCATACTTTTATTCCTAGGATTTAATGTATGACATAGGTTAGTCACATTTGGCAGAAAGCTGTAAAATGAATCTAGATTGGACAAAGTTGAAGGTATAGACTTTAAAATACTTCTTTACTTTTATCTTTCTGGCAGCTAAGTGATGTAGTGGATAAAGCACTGACCCTGGAGTCAGGAGAACCTGAGTTCAAAGCTGGCCTCAAACATTTACTAGCTATGTGACTTTGGGCAAGTCACTTAACCCTGTTTGCCTTAGTTCTTTGTCTGGAAAAGGAAATGGCAAATCATTCTAGTATTTTTGACAAGAAAACCCCAAATGGAATCACAGAGAGTCAGATACAATTATATTTATATTAATATCTGTATCCCCTATTCCTTCTTACCCTGCTCAGGCCTGAAGAAAAGTGTACTTCATTGCCAAAGGTTCATCACCACAGTTCATTCTGTACCCCTCTCTTCTTTGGAGAGATGAAGATCCATGTACTTCTGCTGCCCATCATCCTTAAGCACCCCTAACTCTTTTCAGCCTATGGGAAAATTACACTGCTCCCTAACCCATAAAAGGCAAAACTCCTTCAGATCTGTGCCCTGGGCAAGATGCCTCAGACCCATCTCCTAAATCCACCTTTGTCATAATCCCAAGAAGTGATTTTTCTTCTTAAAGAGAAGCTTGATAGAGTGTGTCATTTATGGAATTGCTAGCCAAATTCTACCCAAAGGTAGATAGTGACTACTGGTTCTATGAGTCAACAAACATTTACTAAGTTGGCACTACACGAAGCACTGAGGGGTGGAAAAAAAGACAACCCTGCCCTCAAGGAGCTCAGATGCTAATGGGGGAGCCAATATGCAGACATCTTTACAAATGAGATACATACCGGCTAAAATGGAGATAATCTCAGAGGAAAGGGACTAGCAGTTGCCTAGGAGACGGGACATGGATAGGAGAGACTGGGCCTGGAAAAGACCTCCTGAAAAAGATGAGATTTGAGTTAAACCCAGAAAGCAGCCAAAGAAGCCAAGCCAAGTAGTAGAGGTGAGAAGGGAGCACATTCCAGGCATGTGGGACAACCAGTGAAAAGGCATATGGAACGTCCTATATGGAGGACACCAAGAATGCCAGTGTAGCTGGGAGTAAAGTATAATATTAGAAAGGTAGGAAGGGGCTGGGTAGTGGAGCACTTTAAAAGCCCAACAAAGAAATTTATATTTGATCCTGAAGTTAATAAGAAGCCACTGATATTTACTGAGTAAGTGGGTACTGTGATCTGGCCTAAGCATCAGGAAAATCACTTTGACATCTGAGTAGAGGATGGATTGGAGTGGGGAGGGACTTAAGGCAGAAAGGCCAATCAGAATACTAGTGCAATAGTCATAGCATGAGGTGATAAGCATTTGAACCAGAATGGCAGCAGTGTCAGGGGAAAGAAGGAGATATGTAAAGATCTTGGCAATAGATTGGCTATCTGGGGTGAGATGAGGAATGAAGGATGACCCAGCAGTAGGAAGCCTAGCTAACTAGGAGGATGGTGGTGCCCTACATGGAATTTAGGAAAAGTGGAGGGTTTTAGGAGAAATACAATGAAAGTCATTTATCTTCTTGGCCTCAGTTTCCTTGTATGAAATGAGAGGGTTAGACTAGAGGGGCTCTGAAGTACCTTTGAACTCTAGATTTCTGATTCAAAGATTTGTTTTTAAAAAGCCTATTACTGGACAAACGAAAAAGTACTGGACAAAAAGGAATGCTCAGAACCAGATCAGATAGTTATGTAAATATGACAACCTTGAAAACCTGTGCCTATTCTAAGTATCCACATGTCACTTGACTTAGAAAATTAAAACCAAGATGTCATGGGAAGTGGAATATTCTGACATTTTGCATAAAAATATGTGTTTATTTTAAAAGTCATATTAAATAGTGTTCCTTTCTATGCACCCCACATGATGTACCTTCAGTAACTTCCTATTTTTCCTACCCTTATTTCTGGTTTTCATTAAGATACATTAACCTACTATCATTAAAGGTAAAGAGGAAGACATATGTAAACTCCCATCATTCCAATCTTTACCTCCATGCAACCTGTATTCCAGCCCCTTTTTTAACAAATACATATGGAAAGACTTATATGAAAGCAATTCAGAACCGAAAGAGTATCCCTATTCAAATGAAGACATTAAGTGGCAAGAAAAATCTGGTCAAATTGAGAGGCAATATTAGCATGGTGCTCTCTTATTGGAGTCATACCACACACTCATCCCTCACAAGAGGATAAGCTTACATCAGTAGATACAACTAGTCTCAATTACTTTCTTTTGATATTGTAGAGACCCACAATGTATAAATTTGCTATGTTAAAAATAAACTTGATTAACAAAAAAGAATTGTTCATGATATTTATATACTTTTTCCTAATTTTAAAAATAGGATTTTACTGACATGGTCTTTTTTTTATTTTGATGCTAATTCCTGATATAAATTTAATTGTACAGTGTTTATAATACTTGCAAACTAAACAAATTCATTAATATGAAAAAGTTTACCTATAATAGAGCTACTACCAGATAATAAAATCTAAGTGGTTATTTTCTAAAGTGTAAGCCAATTCCTTTCAATCTAAGAATGGGAAACTTCAATGCCTATTCCCCTAAAACACTGTAATTTAGGTTTGGGTCCAATACTTTCAATCAATACCTGTATGTATCCATGCGTATTTGGTGCAAAAATTAAAACAGTAAAAAGTGACCAATGACACATCAATCCTTTTTACATGTTTGCTTTATTTTCCATGTTATATAAAGTCTTTAAGTTGTACCTGTTAATGTTGTTAAATGTAAACATTTTGGGTACATGCTTTTTGGATAAATATTTTTTAAAAAATCTTAGCACTATTATACAGCATTGAGATAAAAAAAGAATAAGTTTTCCAGACTAAAGTTTCCAGAAAGCAGATGGCTGAATAATAATCCAAGCTTTTAAAAAAACCTTCTGTTTGAATCTATGCTATATTTTGTAAGTAGCAGAGATAAATGTAATAATATCTTCTGATGATAAAGCTGGAGTATATCAGAATAATGCCATTTAGTTTCCTCCACACAGGGCAACCAGGATTTTTTCATAATCTCCCTTGGTTTCATCCTGTAAATTTAAGAAAAAATATTAATATTACCTGAAAACAACCATCAATTCTTTGTGGTCATCAGGAATTGTAAGATAACTGATTTTTAAATACTCTTGACACAGTAGGCGTTTAACAAATAATTGTTTGTTGATTACTTCCCAGAATGAGCAAAGCTAACTGGATTCAGATTTCAAAGTGATTGAAGCAGATAATGTTTTGTAATACCATCACATGATGGAATACAAAGCCATACATTATGACTAGATGTAACATGATATCAAGCTAACCATATCACATGTTAGACTGGTTCATGATAGCTCATCAGAAACAGAGATAGTTATAGTTCTTTGGCCACTCCTTTCTGTTAGGTGGATTTTTGTCACCTTATAAAAAAATATAGCTTCAATTAAAATAGCACCAATTCTTTTAAGGAGCTCTGTAATTTATTCTCTCATGTGTTCCCTTTTCTATGCATTCATTGATAAAATAATGTGGTTTTAGATTTTTTTTGTTTTAATATGATTAATTATGTTCATAATAAATTATGTTCAATTTAGCCATAATGGATGACTTTGTAAATAATTGCTATAGGGATTTTTTGCCAGTTTTATTGAGAATTTTGAATTAATATTTATTAATGACATTGGTCCATAATTCTCTTTCTGTGCTTTAGTTTTCCTTCAAATATAAAATAGGACAACTGTGAGTTTGGCAGCATGCTTTCTTTCTTAATTTTTGAGAAAACTTTGTATAATTTAGTATTAAAGATTTTTAAGTTTAATAGAATTCATCTATAAATATAATTCTCATTCATTTATTCTTACAACATCCTAGTTATATAAATTAAAAGAAATTATAATTATACCTCTCTTGTCTCCCCCTTAAGATAGCAAATTGAGACATGCTTTAATCATTCACTGACAAATGCTTAACAAATGAATCCATTTTCAGAACCAAGCACTATTTTCCCAAATTAAGCCTCCAAAAATGCTATTTGGAAGATGGTTCCAACTGAACAGCTAACCAACAATCGATTGCTGAACACACAAGGTCCCTTTATAGTTGAAAGGAATTAGTTGTAATATTGAGAAATCTATGAAAAAAAAAAGGTATTTACACCAAACTCAATTACTATTTTTTTCTTTAATTTTATTTGACCCAGTGTGGTTCAGTGGAAACGAGAGCATGCCTATATCAGGAGCTGAGTTTTAGTCCTGACTCTACCACTAAAGAGCTGTATGATAGTTTAATTTCTACAGTTCTATTTTTTTTAAATGAAGAGTTTAGACTAGATTTTTAAAGACTCTTTTTACCCTAATCTATGATCAAAGATCTCCTAACTTGAAAGTTAACATTTGTCACAGAGGAAATTCATTCCTAGGACAGTAGTTTCTCAAATAGGCCCCCAACCCAAGAAAACATCATTAAAAACTAGAAATATTTCTCCCCAAGAATGAAAATCAGCCTGATTTTCCATTAAATTGAAAAATCAGCAGTTTTCCAAAGAGCAAATGAATAAAAACCATTATCCTTAGGCAAATATTTGTTTGTCTCCTTGGAACAAATAATACATTAAGCCACAAAAAGAATTGTTGACTATCATATGATGTTGTAAAAAGAAACAAAACATACCAGAATGGCCTGGCACAGAGAGACACCATACATCTTTTGATAGTATGCCTTGATCTCATTCATGTCGATTTCAGAACGAGAAACCATAATCCTGATAAGATCCTTATGACGAGTTCCAGCACCCTATTCAAAACAAATATTGACACTGTTAACTCCTTCATATGACATTCTCAGTAAATTGAGGTAAGGGTACTCATCTACATAATTTCATTTCTTAAAGAATTTGTGGTATCATACATACACATACAGACCATGTAGCATAGTAGATAGAGTGATGGTTTTGGGGTTTGAAAGACACAAGCTCATGTTTGAAGCTAGTTGTATGACCTTGAACATTTCTCTATGCACAAAATGCAACAATTTAGGATTTCTCTTGGAACAGTAGAATGAAGTCAGACTTGTAGTAAGAAGACCTGAGTTCACATTCAATGGAAAAGAATCTGAGACATTTTTAAGGGTTTGTTTGGTTTTATACTTCAAATCATTATTGTCTTCTCTATTCCAAAGCTCTACACTATATGAAGGAATTACTTCTTAGAAAATATTTATAGGTTCACAGGATTTAAGGGCTATAAGGGAACTTGAAGATCATCCAGTCCAATGGCTCTCAAAGTATGATCTAGGGCCCCATGTGGATCTCTAAAACCCTTTTAGGGGGTCTGTGAGGCCAAAACTATTTTCATAATAATACTAAGACATTTTAATTTCTAATATGCTAAACATCAATAGATATAACCCATACAAATAAAAGCTTTTTGGAGAGTCCTCAGTAATTTTTGAGTGTAAAGAGATACTGAGACCCAAAAGTTTGTGAACCACTGGTCGAGTCTAACCTCTTTATTTTGTAAATAATGAATAGATTTATTATCATGGGGGGAATGGAGGTTGGTTCATGAACATATCTTCTATTTGCTATCTTCCTTCATGCTTTCCTATTAATTTTTTTAAAACTGAGAATATATATGAACATGTATAAACTGATATATATGCATGTATGCTATGTGAATGGATATAAACAAATAAACATATATGTCTATCTCTTTGTACTCTGTTTTCTGATTAGCAACCTTTAGCAATGAAGAAAAATAACAACTTTTTTTCTATTGTAAGAGGTTGATATTTGAAGACAACAATCCCTGTGAGAGGAATTATGCAAAATGCATAAAATAAGGTTTTGAGACAGAAAACCTAATAGAAAAGGAAACAAATATATTCTATCCCAGCTAGCTAAAAATATAAGGCATGGAAATTTGTATTTTTTTCCAATCCAATTATTGCATAATAAAACATAGAAATAGTTTGAAAGTTTTTCCCCTCTATTTCTTTTATGAAGAAAGGGACAAGGGGAAATCAATGGGAACTAAAAGATGAAACCACTGATTTCCATTCCACTGGTGGTTCTTAGTAATTAATGGAATAGATCACCAGAAAACAAATGAGTGTAAGGGATGTTGTGAAGTTATTAGCCCAGCAAAAAACACCTAAGTCCAAAGCATCTTTTGTTTTATTAGCAGAAATAAGGTTTAAGGTTGTTTGAAATAATTCCTAAAAATCAAAGCAAAACTTAAAAATATTTGTTGATCTCCGTGTTTCTTAAATTCTACTACTGCTTTGTGGACATAATTAAAAGATGAAATTTAATCGTAGGAAAATTAGAAAACCAGTCACTTTGATGGCACTAGTTAAACAACAAGGGCCAAGAGGAAGAGGAAAATGTCACAATTTTCAAGTACATTGGAATTTTCCGCAATGCTCAAAGCAAACCAAAGGTTCTCATAAAAGGAATTTATTTACAAATTCAAGTGCATGCTTAATTATCACCTCAAAAATGTCAAATCCAATTACAGCTTTCTAAACATGTGAAATAAGCTTCTCTTCATCATTGAAGACACTGATTCAGCCTAATGAAAGTTGCTCATTTAAATGTATTTTTCCACCTAACCAGTATAGACATATCATTTCTTTACTTGTAAATAGTAAGACACCCCCAAAAGAAAGTACTTTAGGTAAACTGTACCTTCATGGCTTTGTGAAGCTTCTCAGCAAAGAAAGCTGGTTTGCTTGTGGCGCATTTCACTGTGTGAGAGAAAGAGAGAGAGAGAGAGGAAGGGAGAGGAAGGGAAAGAGTGGGAAGGGATGGGAGGGGGGAGGAATGAGAGAGAGAGAGAATGAATAAACAAACAAACAAACAAATAAGAATGAATATTTTATAGCTGGTATGCTTATCACGGGGAAAAATCATGTTGACATTATGGAGGGCTGGTAAATGAGTATCTGTCTTTTCCCAGATATAAAATTATAGGATCATAGACTCTTAGAACTTGAAAGGACCTTAGAGGTGATCTAATGCAGCCTGTAATAGACAGAATTCTATAACATTCCTCAAAGGCTTCCTTCTATCTACTCTTTTTATTTTATATATATACTTACTTTTATATATGTTCTCCTCTTTTGTAAGAACAGGGTCCACTTTTCCTTTTGCTCATAGCCCTAGAACTTAACACAGTGCCTAGTACACAGCAAGTGCTTTATAAATATTTGCTGATTAATAAATGGTCATTCATATGGTCTATGTGGGTTTTTTTTAAATCATTATGTAGTATTTCCCCCATTGCAGCATATGGAGGCAAAACTGCCCTATCATCCTATAGATGTGTGGAGGACTCTATAGAATGAGTTTTATTAGGCAGATGAGAAACATGATTCAGCAGCAAATAAAACCATCTCTAATTGAAGCTCATTAGTGATGGGGTGGGGGTAGAGAGGAACTTAACTCTGGTGGCAGCCTAATCCACTTTTTTGAGCTTTAATTGTGGGCAGGTTTTTGTTTGTTTTGATTTATGTTTGTTATGCTGTTTCAAAATACGTTTTTATGAAACTCCTCCATTCTTTTTTTTTTTTCACTGCTATGAGAATGCTCACTTTCCTTAAGGGAGAAATTAGTAGGTTTTAAAGATCTATTAGCACCTGAGGCAATCTCCATTTGTTCTAGCTAGGGGAAAACCAAGAGCACTAAAAAAGATGAGGAGCAAACTAAAATGTAATGATAAATGTAAAATACAATATGAGATAAAAATCTCAACTGTACAAATATTGGAAAAGGTAAGAGAGCACTTCATGTGGAGGGGGTTGGAAGTTTAGTTAACAACAAGCTCAACATGAGTGAATGTGACATGTAAGAAAGCTGAAAAATAAAAACTTAAAGGCTATATTAATAAAAACATTGTTTTCCAAAACAAGGGAATAATAAATTTCAATGGTCACTAGACCACACATGGAGTATGGTATTCAGTTCTAGGTGTCATATTTCAAGGACATTGAAAATTGAGAGGATCTCTATGAGAAGGTGCTGAAATGATGTGATAGGAAGAACAGTTAAAGGGGCCTAGAATGTGTAAGAAAGCAAAACTTAAGGAGACTGTGATACCTGACTTCAAATACAAGAAGATTACCATCTGGAAGAGATGAAATAGGCTATGTGGTTCCAAATGGTAGTAGAATTAGGATCAATGGAAAGCAGACTCAGGAGAGGGATTGTAAATCATAAGGTAAGGATACATTTCTATTGTCCAATGAAATGTACTGCCTTATAAATTAGTAGGTATCTATCATCAAGAGTTTAAAAGTGAAAGCCAGATGAGCATCTATCAGGAATATTAACCAGTAAAGGGATCAAGATGGTACAGTGGATGGAATGGAGGACCAGGAATCAAGAAGAGTTGTGTTTGAATCCTCCCTAATGTCACTTGGGTGACCTCTGACATGTCATCTAACCTCTGTCTCCCTCAGTTTGCTCACCTATAAAGTGGGGATAATAGTACCTACAACACAAGGTTGTTGTGAGGATTAAATGAGTTAATATCTGTAATTCCCTTTGCAAACCTATTTAAATGCTAGCTGTTATTATTGCTTACAGAATGAATTATTTGAAACTCTAAGATTCCCTTAAACTCTAAGATTCTATGATGCTAAGTGGATAGCCATCTCTTTGCCAGGACAAGTTATGCCAACATTTGAGCATTCACAGTTTTCTCTAGAACCTGTCCCCTCTCAAATGAGAAGAAATTCTATACCAATTTTAAATCATAAAATAACAGAAGCTTCAACCTGATTTCCAGAGTCATTGGTGTACCATCTTCCCAAATCATCGTGTATTTGTCTTGTATATATCATTGAAATACTTACCTGTGAACATGCTATGTCCTCTGGTACAGTGCAAGCTCTTTGAGGGCAAAGACTGTCTCACTTTTGCAGTGATATTTCCAATCCCCAGAACATACTAGGAGCAATTGACTGAACTGATACATTCCTCCTCTCCTAATCTACATTGTCTACCCTCAACTATATTTGAAATAAAAGGGCAATGCTGGAATTCTTATAAAAGCAGCTCTTGTCAGAGGAAAAGAGGAAAGATCTTTACCAAGAATTTGGGCCAGATTTACTCCAGCAGAAGCTGAATATAATAAAGAGATAATTTCTCTGTAGGAAGAAGAGTATTTTCAAACTTCAAACTATAGCCTTTCTCAACTACAGTCACATACCAATAGCAGTTAAGCAGTTCTCAATATCCCCTTTCAGTTCCAGGTCCAATACTTTGTTCATGTCATGTTGGCTGTATTTGCAATACTTCTGAAACACTAAAAAAAGAAAAATAAAATCAAGCTAAATGATCTCACCCCCAGATCCAAACTTATGGCCAAGAGAAGAAACAAACCCTTGGAGAAGGGGGGCAGGAACCAGGCTTGAGGGAATACAGATCTCAAGCAATCTCATTAACTACCAAGAATAATAAATCACAAAGCAAAGTTATAAACTGGATTAAATTTGGGCTTTAAAAAATGCTACACATCTGAAAAAGTAATCAGAAAAGACACAGGAAAGAAAACTATGTTAAGGGCTCTATTCTTGGAGTACCATGAAATATAGGAATGATCTTGAAAAAGATTGGTTTCCTTTCATTCGAGAACAAACATGGGCTAGGAACTCAGAGATTTTGTTTGCAAGATGACAAGGAAAGAATGAATATAAGCTTGATAGTTTATATTTCTCCAATTTGCCTACTCTATTTCCAGGGAAGTTCTCTGAATCCACTTCTAAAAAGTAATAGACCCCATTTCTTACCCCACCCCCTACCAAAAAACAATGTCTTCTACTTACCACGACGAAGATGTGGGAAGCTTCTTGTGGTAAGGATAGTATTGAATACATTCACATCAGTTCCTTTTCTTCTCTCTCCTGCTTCATACAAAGCCTGTTGTAAAGCAGAAAATAAGCAGCAATTCCTCCTTAAATATTGCCCAAATAAAAATTTCAGACAAAAACAAGGCAAGCCAAAAATTGGATTTTTATCCACTTGGAGAAATAAAATGCATGGTATGTTTCCTGAGGGATTACTCAATAGATATTTGTTGAGTGGTTACTATGCACCCAGCATTATTGGTAAGGGCTACAGAAGTAGCGATTTAGTTGGTGGCAACAAGAGGAAATCATCTGAAGCTTCATTATTTTTTCAAAACCCCAAACTGATACTGCTAATTCAGAATTGCCCCTAGCTCTAGTTCCATGAATCTCTCCTCTTTGAATACACATCTCATATCACAGGTTATCACTGACTTTGAAACAATAAAAAGTCAACATTATGTGACCAATAAGAAATGTTTTTGAATAAATGGATTTATTCTAAAGTTAAATGTTTACCCTTTGAAAGTACTAATGGATTCAGCAAGAATTCATGGAATTATTTTATAAACAAATACATAAACAAATATAAAGGATCAAATAAATGCCTACTTTCATTCTCTTAATAATTTAATATAAATGGTATAGTGAAAAGAATACTGATTCTGGCATCCCAGGACTTGAATTTATGTCTGTCTTCTGATTCTTATTACCTCCATGACTTTGCAGGTACTTAACTACAATGGGTCTCAGCTTCTTACTCTGGGAAATGAGGAGATTAGGCTAGCTGGCTTCTGAGATCCTTTCCAACATGAGATTTATGATTCTATTCTTGCCCTGGGAACCCTGGACTCTAATTGCTGACCTTCCACTTTATCTTGAACAATCTCAAGACTACACTACTTCTTGAATATCTCTAAGCTTTGCCTTACCCATCCCTCACCTTTCCAACTCTACTTCCATGTATATATGCTGCTTTCCTCTATCAGAATGTTAGCTCCTTGAGGACAGGGACTTTTTGCTTGCTTGTATTTGTATTAATAGTGATTAGCACAGGGTCCAGCATGTAGCAAATGCTTAATAAATACTTTTTCCTTCATTAATTCTTCAAATAATACAGGAAAAATAGAGGAAGAATATAGATAATGCTAGTCAGCTATTGGCCTCCAAAAGAAAGTCATGAAGAGACATTCATAAATAAAGAAAATGGGAAAATTCTATCTAGAAAAGGTAGCTACAGCAAGGACAGGACATTAGAAAAGAAAATTCACAGTAACAAGCACATCCTTACCCTGGCATCATTATCAGCCAGATCATCATTCACACCAATATCCTCACTTCGGTCACCCTGGTTGGGGGGGGGAGAATAAAAAATGCCATTATTCTTCTTTTAAAACTTATTTCCTCCAACATAACCCAAAGCATTTTTATAATAAATTTTTTCATAAAAGTTTTAGGAATCATACACAAAGGAAAGAAGATAAATGTCTTGAAAGATCTCAAAATTATGGTTTATGTTTTTCAAAAGGTGACATTCCCTGAAGTTACTTAAATCAATGACATACCTTGACCAAAGAAAGCAAAGCCTTCTGAAAATCTCCAGATGTATCTGAGGTGATATCTTTGGCCAGATCTCTCTTAAATTCTGTATTACAAGATTGAAAAATAAGAGAAATTATACTTTAAATGAGAGAAAAATGTATTCTTTGCTACATAATAGTAGAATCAAAGTAAGTATGGCTTTGTATTATCAAAATCATGTGTTCAGTAAAGCAGCAGTAAATGAGAGAAGGCCACATCATTTCATTGCCATCAGAGACATTCAAGGACTGGTTTGCATTGCTAGCAGAATTAAGCCATATATATACCCATTAAATAGATAATCCTTTCAACAATATATGTGGTCCTTAAACCTATACAGGCAAAGTGAGAAAAAAGAAATATTTTCCCATTATAAAGTGAGATGCTAGGATAAAATTCAGATTGTATTCATTGTTCTTGGTTACATTAAAAAAACATAAAAAGATGGAAACACTAAGAGCAATATGATTCTAGAAAATACATAGAGGTTGCAAAATGCAGGAAAATATGGAACCTTAATGGAAACTAGAAATGGGTACTTTTTTTCCATTCTTGAACAGTTGAATAATAATTTCATTTTTCCTACTGCTTAATGTTACCACTGTTTATTCATTGAAAAAAAAACATTTATTAAGTGCAATGTTTGGTACCAGATGAGGTACAAAAATAAATGTGATATTGTCACTGCCCTTGATAAGATTATCATCAGGTAGAGATGATAAAATATGTGTGTACATAAATATGAATTCAAATTATTTATAAATGCCCAAAAGAATAAAATGCCGGGATAAAAGTTCAGATCCTACCTCAGGTACTTACTAGCTGTGCGACCCTGAAAGTTATTTAACCTCTGTAAGCCTTAGTTATAATAGCACCACCCAAGTCATAGGCTTATTGTAAGGATCAAATGAGATAATACATGTAGAGAGCTTTGCAAACTTTAAAGTGCTATATAATATTTGCTGCAACTGCTGTTGCTATTGTTATTAAAATGGGAGTGCTTTATGAAATTCCAAAAACCTAAATGGCTCTGGTAGGCCATGAACTTACAATCTTTGGCACAGGGTGCCATTGCCTTATTTGTTGGACTCCAAAAGGCCCAAGATACCAGGTTTCACATAAGATCTCAAAACACAAGCTTTCAAATACTTTATTAAATTATACTATAAACCTATTGTATCAGGAGTAATTCCATATCCTACTTCTTTCAAGATGTGTTACTCAGAGAATTGTGGTAAGTCTGGTCCCCAGTGAAAATACTTTAGACTGCTGTGCATTGCTTACAAGGATGAGAAACAAAAGATGGTGAATAATATGGAATGCTCCCAGAGAATTCCTCTCTACAGTTCTGCTCTTGACAATGCCTAGCATGTTGTTAACAGAATGTGAAAAAGTAAAATTAAAAAGAAAAAGAAAGATATCTCTGTCCTCAGGTCCTTACAGGAGGTAAATAATTATTTCTATTACTCTTACACCTAGAGGTGTAGCAATTTACCCATGTTTGAAAAGCCAAAATTAAGAATAATGCCAGTTATAACCTCATAGCTAGGCTATCTTGTAAAGGAAAGGGGACAGCTAAGTCATTTTTTCAGACTCTCTTCAAAGAAAAAGCTCTCCTTCAGAAACCAGCCTCAAAACATTTGAATGGAGTGGACTTCCAAAAACCTAACTAATAAATATGTATACTTACTACATTTCATCTCTGAATACCATTTAATGACCAATTCTTTGGCAACATGTTGATTTTATTTGAATTTGATTTTGATTGTAAAAGTTTATTTGATTTGTTGTTTTTCTCAATTTGCCTATTTGGATGATCTTTTGCCTGTTCCAAATAGTTGAATGTGTGGAGTTTACAAAAAGCCTGTCACCCCTAACAAATTTAAAATTTTAGGAAACATACAATTCTCCTCATCTATCTCACTATGTTTGTATAAGCCAATGTCGACTTACCCTCTCTGTAGACTCTGTTGATTTCCCTGATTTCCCCATTATTTCTTGATGCAAGAATTTCAATTAAGGTGTCTTCATCTGTTCCAAGTCCCTGCACAAAATATATGAGGAAAGGCCTTATTAAATAAAAATAACTCTTTACTTTGTTTAAGGCCTTGAAGTCTATTAGTTTTAACTCTACCTTCCCTCTCCTATTGAGAGAGAAATCTTATTGAGAAAGCATTTGGATAGGTAGGCATTACCATTAAATATACTCTCAGAGACCAGCCTTATAATATCATTTATTAGTATCTGATTTGTTTGGCTGGGTTTTTTTCATCATTTAGTAATAATGAGTTTTAATCATTATATTCAATTTGTACCATTGGAAGAGGGGTTCCACATCCTTTGCAATGAACCACTCAGACCTTAAAAGTTCATAAAAACAGTTATTTAATTAAAATATATTCAGTGATCCCCAGGTAAAAGTGGTCAGCAAGGAAGTTTCTAAAGGTTTTGGAAGCTTATTACTCCGTATAGAAAGCAATCCTTAGAAAAGGCATCCCAAAAGTTTCAGCACAGAACTTCACTTTAGAAGTAAAAGGCTGCACTAAGAATTTTGGCACAGGCTGTATACTCATCACCCAATGGACCCACAGCTGGATATAATTCAAACTCCCCAGGCTGTTTCACAATGTCCTGGTTCACAACAGCCTGGGGTAGCAAGCTGCCTGGGTCTGCATCATAACATCCTAGCCCTACAACACACACTAACATGTTATGTTAATTGGAAATTTGGCAAATAGAACCTTATATATATCTTGCATGTACATAATTATTTGCATTCTGTCACCCTGATTAGAATATGACTTCCCTGAGGGCAGGGACCATGTATTTGCCTTTTGTTGTATTCCCAGCATTTAGCATGGTGCCTGGCACATAATAAGCACTTAAAAATGTTTATTGATCAAATTACTGATGGCCACAGTTTGTGCATTAGGTCCTATAGGTTTGGTCAACAAGAAGCACATCAGTTAGATATTTTCAAACATCATAAATTACCTTCATAGCACCCCTCAACTGATGGGCATCAAACTGGGCTGGGGTTTTCAAAAGAGCCAGAGCAACATCTTCCAGGTGGCCTGTAAGGCCTTTCTTCAGAGCATCCTCCAGGGGCTATAGAAAAGAATAGGTGGCATTTGTGAGTCGTTATGAAGCACTTTGATATTCCTTGTAGTTCTAAGGCTTTTCCCTGGAGAAGCCTAGGAGAAGCTGATTGCTACCTAAACAAAGCCATTCTTGAAAAGCATGGCCTACATTATGAGTAATCAGATCAGACATTCTAATGGGGTTAAGGAGGAATCCATAAAATGGCATTGACAAGTTATTAAAACACTCTAAGGCACTGAGGGAAGAAAGCAGTACAACATGGTCATGAACCTTTCTTCAGAGGAATTGTAGATTTGGAGTTAGAAGAAAAGATAAAAGTCAATCCTGCCCAACACCTGCATTCTACAGTTGAGAAAATTGAGGCCTGGGGAGGGTAATGAATGGCAAAGCTGGGATAAGATCCCTGATCTTCTGATGCCAAGTCCATTGCTCATTCCACCATGCTTCCGAGAAGGCAAAATCATCTATATAAAGTGAAATTTTAAACTGATACATGTATAATTATCCAAGCAAGCTACATTGCATTTGAAACTCAACAAAGTCTAAGTATAACAGGGACATCATAAATATTGCTGCATTTATTTCGGGTGAGAAAAGAGAAATAGCAACATGGCCTAGTGGAAAGAACAATGGATTTAGAGGAAGTAGGTGTCAACTTAAGTCTGAGCTCTGTCATTTATACTTATGCTACCCTGGGAGAGTAATTTCCTTTCTCTTGGCCTCCATTTGCTCATCTATTAAAAAAAAGAGAGAGAGAGAGAGAGGGTAGTCTAGATGATCTATGTTCCCTTCCAGCACCAATATCCTATCATTCTAAGAGATCAAATGTGAAAACACACACGCAAATTTTTATAAGCACAACTACGTAAACATACAGCTTGTCCCAAAAGTTTTAGTGCAATTTGAAGCTTTAATAATTTCAGAAGTATAAATACTACAAACTTACAAAAACATTTAAAAAGTTGATTATTTAAATTTTCAGATATTAATATGCTTCTTATTAAAATTTATCACAGCCACCAACTTGTGCTATCTAAATCATTCCAGTTGATTTTTGAACTTTGCAAAAACTTTTATCAGATGATGCTAAGTGACTTAATGAAATGCATTTGTAACCCTACCCTTAAGATCACCCTCCCAAAATATGAGGTTTTGATGCATATGTGGTGGTTTTGACCTTACAAGAAAAAATCTCATGGAGATAGGTCAGATAACTGAGGTAGCTAAGCAAGAGACCTGCCTCTACTGATATACTAGTGTGTTTAAAAAGTATCATCCGGAAACTCATACACACAATGCATGACAAGGTACACTATCTTGTTAAAATTAAAAATAAAAATTTATTATTCAAAATGCATAAAACTGGATAAGAATAAATATTAAAATTAACTTTTAAGTTATATTTTTGTAGGTTTGTAACATTTATATTTCTAGTGTTATTAAAGCTTAAAGCTGCACTATGAGTTTTGGGATACCAATGAATATTAAGCAAACTATTCCTTCCAACTCAAATATTGGTGTTGTTCACTCACTGTTAAGTTGCATCCAATTCTTTGTGCTATTTCCTTCTCCAGCTCATTTTATAGATGAGGAACTAAGGCAAATAGGGTTAAGTGACTTGCCCAGGGTCCCACTGCTAGTATGTATCTGCGGTCAGATTTGAACTCATGAAGATGAGTCTTCCTAATTCCAAGCCCAGCGCTCTATCCTCTGAACCACCTAACTGCCCTCAGTTCAAATAGTGCTTTTCAAACAATGCTGGTATAAGGTACTTTTTATTTAGGCTCTTCATTTATTACAAACAAATTCTTGCTGGGGAAAGAGGTTAGAAGTGTGACCTAGTTCCTCTAGTCTTTGTTTTGAGTTTGAATGTCTAAAGGTTAAATTATGGTGGTTGAAGGCTAATTATCTTCTTACCTAAGATTGTGTTTGACTATAAATGTGCTTTAAAAGTCCCAGGATCCTAGACCTAGAGACAGAAGTGACTTCAAGGTCATCTAGCCCAACCACCTCATTTATAGGTGAGGAAACTGAGGCCTATACATACTAAGTTAATTGTCCAAGGTAACATAAGCAGTCAGTGGCAGAAACGGGATCCTCTCACTTCATAGGTAGTTCTCTTTCCCTCGTGGCTTGTTACCTCAGAGCTACTCCAACAAGGCTAAAATTAAGATCTTGGACTCAATAAAGAAGTTTTCAGTTTACCTTTCCTTTTTCCTGGAGGTATGCTTCTTTGATTTTCTGACGTTGAGCACTGTTTCTCTTTGTTAAGATATCAATGATGGTTGCTTCATCTACACCTAAAAAATTGATGGACAACCACACTTTCAGAATTATGTTCTTATCTTTGATGTTATTGGTTAGGTTGAATGTCAAAATGGCAGATAAACAATCTATTACATTTTTGTCTGGGGGGAAAATACTCTGCTGGGCATTAAAATATGGATTAGATTGTCTTATAAAGTCAATTCACCACTTAGACTTGTAAGCTTAAATTATACTCAAGAAAAGTTACAAAATTCTGGACTATTTTAGATTGTGTTTTAGCTTAACAATTGTTTCCAAAAACCATAGAACAAAATTTCCAACTATGGTTATCAAAGGAGCAGATTAAGTAATAGATAACCTCAAAATTATTCTTCTTTTAATCTTGAAGGTATATTATGGGAATAGTTTCCTGGAGTCAATAGATAAATCTTTTCTAACCTATTAAAATAGCAGAGATAGAAGATAGAGACTGGATTTATGATTTCATAGACCACTGAAACTCTTTGGTGAGGAAATTCCCTCTACCAAAGCAGGTTGGCCCTTTCTCTTTAACTTACAGTGTCAAAGAGCTAACTAGATACCTGACATATTAAATGACTTGCTGAGGTCACACAGCCACATATTTATTAGAGGCAGGATTAGAACCTAGGCTTTCATAGCTTTGAGACCTATTATGTCATTTGACCTCTCATTAGTAAGGAAAGGGGTAAAATAGCTCCTTCTCTTCCCCAACTTGTAATTCTCAGACAGATCTGTGGCTGGACTGCAAGGAATAGAGAAAAGAAATTTCGATCCTGATTATTTTTATCTTCAACTCAAACTTGGACCAGACAATGGGCTGATAGGAAGAGTAATATAATTCTTTCTCATATCAACCCTAAGATACTACTAACCCCTCCAACTTTAGAGCATGTGATTGTACAAATATGAAATTACTGATAAGAAATTGAGCATCTCCTAACTATTAATAAACTGCAACTTTATTTCACCTGGAAATCCCTCAACTTTGAAATGGAAGTAGAAATGTTTCCCCATTTGTTTCAATTCAAACATGTACTTATTTATGGCCACCTTGGTGCTAGGCACTGGGGAAGAAAAACTTTCTGATAATTCCTACCCTCATGGATCATTGTTTAAAGATTATGTATCCACATGTTTTCCAAAGGGGAATGTTCTGATGTGGTCTAATTACCTTTCACAGTTAGAGCTTTATCCAATGCAGCAACATCAGAAGATGGGTTGAAGTTAGGGTAGGTATTAACTGATGGCCCAGGTCCTCCTTTTGACCCCTTCACAGTTTTCTAAAGGGGAAAGAAAAATAAAGGAATTTGTTTTTAAATACCCAGCTTTGTGTGATACGTTGATAGATAAGTACATCATTTCTTAATTGCTCCTTAGGTAAGTACCGTGGTAAGGCACTGTGCAAAGCACTGTGGGCAGGGGGAAGTAAATATAAAGATACAAGGCAGTGCGTCCCCTCAGAGAGCTTCCATTCTAATATGGGAATACAACATATAAAGAAGAGGGGAACAGGAGGTGGCAGAAGATAGCATAATTTTAATAAACCACTAACATCTATACTTACAATATACTCCTGTTCTTCATTGTCTATAAACCAGGCCTGCTTGAGGAATTCTGCTACCATAGCCATTTTCAAAGAGGTATCTGAAAAGAAAACATAAGCAAATGTTAAATTGAGGGGAAACAACACTTAGATAGCATTTTAATGCTCATTTTCCTGGAGTATTTTGCCACAAATCCACTGTAACTGGTAGTTGAGGTAAGCTATACACCACACAGCTTTCTAATCACACTTGACTTTGATAGAGGTGGGTTGTTCTATCAGAAGACAAAAATGAGAATCTGAAGAAGAAACTACTGCTCCTATCTCTAACACAAAGCTCATGCACTTCTTTCAGAGACCCTTAGGATTGCACTCAGTATAGATTCTCTTTGACTCACCATTCTAATAATCTTGATATCTACTTTCATAGCCCACAGAGAACTGTAAGTAGAAAAAAAGGAAGTAAGGAAGTCAGTCAATTAGAGGGAAGTACTCTAAGACTGAGACTTGAAAGCTAACCTTCATGGAAAAGTCAGAACATTCGGCTCTATACGTGCAAATAACCCCTGAGGACAACAATGTACATATATAAACAACCCCCATGAATGCATATACATACATATGTGCATGTGTACACATTTGCAATACATTCCCTTGAAGGCACAATGTATTATTTTAATAATGATATATTTGTATACATGCATATGTATGTTTTTATATGTATCCATGCATGTTTGTATATATATATATTTATAATGTATATAGTATATATTTATTGTGTATATTATACTAAAAATATACTGCACATTATATAAACAATATATATTTATAATTATGAGGCAAAGATTAAATTATCTTTGATACATTCCAAGGAGGCAGAAATGCATTTTGTTTTCTTTATATCAAATGACTAGAATTTTTTAATTGAAGATTTAGACTTACTTTTAAATAAAAAATATATTTCATTGTCTGCAATATTTATTCATTCAGAGTTTCTTATGCCTTGAAAATACTTGAAGAACTTGGGATTTGGGTTTCAGATTGTGATTTTTTTATGTCCTCTGACCTCAGAACATCATTAATAGCATAGCTTTTGAGAGTTTGTGGCACTGAGAAGACAAGCAGCTTACCCATGGCAATACTGCCAGCGTGTCAAAGGACCTGAAGATTTAAAGTTGGAAGAAACTTTGGGGTTTTTTGGGGTTTTTTTGTTTGTTTGTTTGTTTTTTTGGCTAGGCAATGGGGTTAAGTGACTTGCCCAGGGTCACACAGCTACTAAGTGTTATGTGTCTGAGGTTGGATTTGAACACAGGTCCTCCTGAATCCAGGGCTGGTCCTCTATCCACTGCGCCACCTAGCTGCCCCTGGAAGAAACTTTGATAGTCATCTTGTCCAGCTCCCCCATTTTACAGAAACTTATGATGGCTGAGAGGTTTAGTGACTTTCCCAGAATGGGAATGACAGAGCAGAATTTGAACCCAGATACTCAGATTCCAAATCCAGAACTCTTAATAAAAACACTGACAAAACACTAACTTCATATTATAACCCAGAAATAAAGCTTCTCTGTGCTTCATTGGTTCTCATATTAAGATCAATAAGCCAATCCCTTTGCAGAGTGGCTGTTTTCATTGTAAAGTGTAAAGCCTCCCCTGCCACATATGCAGCAGCAATACATATCTCTTCTCTTTAATATGTTACTAAACAATCACTCTTCACTAATCCTAGGATATCTGTTACTGAATATGTCGATTTCTAAGAGATTAGTGATGCTTCTGTATTTGCATGTCCAGAGAGACCTTTGTTCGGTTTTTGCAGTGAGGAATATTTTGACAAGGCAAATAATTGCTTTATTAAGCAATATTAAAGCCAACCAAATAAACAAAGAACACCTTTTAAGTACAAACTGAGATAAAAGCATTCCGAAAGAAATATATTAATAATACTAGACAACTCACTTGAATAGAATAGACCTTGAAATTTTTCAAGTTTTTAAAATGTTAATTGTTTTCTTCCTAATTGCTATCTGCTCTCACTACCTAATGACTGCGTGTTTCTTGAGCTTGAGAAGACAAACTTCTGGTAGGGCTAGGGAATTATCCTGATGACAGACCTAGACTAGAGCATAACTCAAATATGGCAACCCATCATAATTCCAAGGCCTAGAGCATTTTGCAACTCAATTGTTGATGTAATATTTCCACTTGCAATTCAAATTCATTTAAAAATGAAAGCATATGCTCATTGGAGACTGAGTCAGTAAGTGGCAAGTTTCTAAAGGCACTTAGGGGTGGATTAAAAAAAAAAATCTGTCAGTCTCTGCCCTGTTATGTCTTGCCTACAAGAATCTCCCATACCTACCTATGTAAATGAGAAAGACAATTGGTCTACCCTTCCACAAATACCAACTACGGGAGATTAGCCCCTGAAAACGTAAATGACATGCTAATTTTTTGGAAAATCATAATTTTCCCACATAAGGAATCGCAAAACACTGCAGCTAATTTAATTTTGCTCCATTCCCCCAAAATCAACCAGCATCTAACACAGCTCCTGTTACACAGTAGGAACAAAAGTGATTAACAGCACGTTCAGTTTCACTTTATAAATACGACCTCATTTTATCTTCACCATAACCCTGGGCAGCAAGTGCCATTATTATCTCATTTTTCAGATGAGGAAACTGAGGTTTAAGAAACTTGAGCAGGGTCACGTAACTAATAAGTGTCTGAGGCCAGATTTGAATTCAGGCCTTCCTGATTCTAGGCCCAGTATACTATATTATACCACTTAGCTGCCTCCACATTGTAGGCATTTTAGTGCTTGTTGATTAATGTAGTGAAAAGATTACTGTATTAATTGCTAAGATTTCCATTTTAGCAGATAATCTTATTGGAAGGAAACCCACAATGTGATTTCAGTAGAGTTACTAAAACTCTTTGGCCTCAGTTCCCTTGAATTACAGGATTATTTAGCTAGCTAGTGGTGCAGCAGGGACTGAAGCCTCTCGGATTAGTGTTCTTACAGGGAAAAAAAATATTACCTATGTTTCAGTTTATTTCAAACAAAAATCTTGTTTTAGAGATACACACAGCTGCCAAAGTAATCTCACCAAAGTATAAGTCTGATTATGTCGGCCCCTCACTTTCAAGAATCTTCAGTGATTTCCTATTGCTACCAGGAGAAAACATAAGTGACTTTCTTTGACATCTAAAGCCCATCAAAATCTGAGTCTACCCTATCTTTCAAGATTTCTTTCACATTATTCTCCTGCAAATTTTCTATATTCCAGTCAAACTGATCTAATTGTTCTTCTCCAAAATCTGCCTTCCCTGGGCATACCTATAGACTTTGTGTGTGCTGTCCCCCATGCCTGGGGGGCAGAGAGACAGAGACCAATAGAGAGAGAGAAAGAGAGAGAGAGAGAGAGAGAGAGAGAGAGAGGGAGAGAGAAGGGAGAGGCAGAGAGTGAGTGAGAAAGAAAAGGAAGGAGAGAAGGAAAGATGGTTCTAATCTATAATTTAATTCCTTTAGGAAACTCCTCTTGTGGAAACTTGGTCCATTGATAATGCAGATCAGCAACTCACCTTATAGTCTTAGAATTCAGTTCTTTGGGAAACTAAGAAAAGATAACTAGTCAAATGAGCTGTCTGTGATCACACAGATGGTATGTATTTGAGAAGGGACTTGAGGCCAGGTCTTCCTGACTTCAAAGCCAGACTTCTTTCCAACAAATCGTGTTGTCTCTCATGTTACCTTGTGCAATCACTCACCTTACCACCATAGGCACTTAATAAATCGTTATTGAATTGAATAATGGAACCGGGAGGTAGGTACTCAGTTCACCTGGTTTAGATTTCTAACAATTTACTCTTCTTTAGGAAGCTCTTAAACAAGTACACATTTTAACATTTCGCAAAATCATTATTAGATTAGACAATGAAATCATTACTAATTACCTGTTAAGTATCAACTTAACCAGGTTTTAATTCCCCACCTTCCAAATTAGGTAGCACACATGGTGAAGCCAAAATTATACTATTAAGAATATGATTGAATCAAAATTTCACCACATTTAAATTATTTTCAACATGAATCTTCCAAAAGTGAGAATAGAGGAAGATTTTAAGAGCATCCTAAACTTAAATTAATCAAGTGCTTAATTATGCACATGGTATTTAACTATTAGAAACTTTTACTAAATGTTTATAAACTTAACATTCACAAAAAGATTTCAGCAATAATCTTTAAAGGATAGTTTGAGATAATGAATAGCTCCAATTTAGTGCAGCCCCAGTATTTTTAAGCCTCAAAACATAAGAAATTTCATTAAGATTATACATTTTGAGCTAGAAGGGCAAGGTAGAGTTCATGTAATTCAAATATTCTTTTTGAGGGAGAGGGGATTTGTTTAGGGATTTTCAGAACACAGTCTGTAATACTAGGAACTCCCTATAGCAATCCAAATTGGTGCTTTAGAGTTTTAGAGATCTGCAGGCACCACAAAGAGGTGTGGGTCACAAACTAATATGTAGCAGTCAGGACCTGAACTCAGATTGATTTTTGGAACACTGCCAGGCTGCCTCTGAGAAGATAAGAAAACTGAGACAGAGTACTTAAGTAACTTGTCCACAATAAAAAGGGTAGTAAAAAGCAGAACTAAAACTTAAAGATACAGTTCCTCTAAATTCTAATCCAGCACCTCCACAATGACTCTTTTCATTTTGCTTGCCCCACCCATCAATTTCTTCAATGACAGTGGTCCCTAAAATGAGGAAGGCTTTGGAGGCCCAGCTCCCATTTCTGCAAGGTACACCGTTACTGTACACCACCCAGGAAATCATTTATTTTTTTTCCCCTCAAGTATGACACACATAATTGAGAAACAGGTTAGCACATGAACTACCTAGAAAAGGAATGTGACCACACCCTTGTAAAGGAAAAGTGATAAGAAGCTTTTATGTAGCTTACTAAGGACAATTAAAACAAAAGCATGAATTTCGAAATGGCTTAATTAGAAACAATTGCTACTATTGTGAATTCAGATTAAGCTAACTTGGCTTCCAGCAGCAATAAACTACACTATGAATTACCTCCTTTTTTTCTCAGAGACTCACTGAAAACCACAGGCTCCCTCTTCCCTTCCCCTCCCTTTCCTGTCCATATAAGGCATGCATAGCTTTGGTGGAAACTCCTAACTTTCAGGGGAAGGGGAAAGAAAAAACACCCTTTTCCATGGTAACTGCCCAGAAAGTGAAGGATTCTAATGCCAAGTAAACTGGCCACACGTCATTCTTCCTGTTTTATTCTTTTATCCAGTGGACAACAAAAGTAAACAGTTTGCCGATTTCAACACATTGATTCTGAAAATAATTGCATAAACACTTTTACCAAAAAAAAAAAGACTTAGAAAATAGCAAGTCACACCCACCTCTTCTGTAAATACCAGAGCTAACCACTTCTAAGAGCTAAGTTTTAAGGGATAGGGAATTTAGGGAAGTTTTTAAAAAGCAGCAGACTACTCCTAAGGAGGAAATGAAAACTCACCTTTTTCTTTCTCTCCCAAACAGCTAATGAAAGAACCTTCAGAGAAAGTTTCAAGCTGGAAGTGCAAAACCCAGGCTTGTAATTTTTATATATTTGGGAGGACTGACCACACCTAGCAACCAGAGTTGTAGTACAAACTCCAGTGATTGGCTGCCTTTTGTCTAGGACATGACTAAGTCCTCCCCTTAAACAAAATGCAATCAGGCTTGCAAAGCTAGCCAGCTCATAACTGACTTCTCAAAGAAAAGAAAAAGGAAAAAAAAGGAAGGGGAACAGATTAGGAAGGATGAATATGTCACTTTTTTAATTTTGTTTTTTACTTTTTATTTCTGTTTAACCATGAAAAAAAAAAAAAGATTTCTATATGTGGAATGTTACTGAGGAAAACTCAGAGACAATCCAATTCCAAAAACATTTGTTAAATGCCTACAATGTTCAAACCACTACAATGTAGATTGGAGATATAAAGGAAAAAAGTAAAGTCGTTGCCCTCAGGTAGCTTATGTCTTTATGTTCTACTAAGCTTAAGTTCCAAGATTTACAGCTATGACTTGGCCTAAGAAGTCCACATATAGAAGGTGTGTAGCCCACACATGGGAAAAATATTGATAAGGAGTCAGAGGATTTAGATTCAAATCCCTGCTCTTCCTCCTGCCTGGATTACTTTCGGCATGTCTCAGTGATCCTCAATGTCTTTATTTGTAAAATATGAATTTTGGATTAGATGACCTCTAAATGTGCCTCTCAATATGTGATCCTGTTTTGATTCCTGAAGGATGAACGTGAATCCCTCTGCAATTTATCAGTTCTCTTGGTTTTAACTTCCCTCCAAAAGGAGCTAGAGAAAGCTGTTGGAATCCTCTCTTTTAAAGTAGCAGGTTAGGAGCAAGGAACTAGGGCAAGGGCAGAAAGTTTCTATATCAGTGGTTCTCAAACTTTTCCATAGTAGTGGTAGATAGAACCTTCAGTTGAAACAAAACTTTTGCATAAGTCTGCATAATGAGTAAAATTCTCTGAAATTAATATGTCAATGCTTTTAACAAACAAACCAAGGTTCACTGAACACATCCATACACATGCATACTTGAGGTATTTCAGGGTTCCTGGAAGCACAATTTGAAAAATATTGCTCTTGTATTTAGCTACAGTACAGTATCCTGACCAGAGAATTGAGACAGTTGGCAGATAGATTTTCTCCCAGGGTTATTCCTTGCCATGGGTAGGAAACTTAAAAAAGAGAAATTGGTTTGTTTCCTAGTGTTTCTCCTCCCCCTCTCCTCCCCTACCCCCATGGCAAGTTGAAATTTCAACTATTTTAATTATCTGTCATTTGATGCTGAATATAAAATCCACCCACCTCCCCCCCAAAAAAGAAAAAAAAAATCTAGGAATACGTTGGGGGGAAATAATTCTTTTTATAGGTTTTACTCAGTTTCTTTTTTTATTTTGTTTTGTTTTTGGTTTTTGCCAGTAGGTTTTGAGGAAGAAAAGTTGGCCTACAAGGTAGTTCAGTTCTGTTTGTGCCAAACTTTAAATTCCTAAATTATTCTAGAAAATAATTTTGGAAAAATTGTATAATGCCACAGTGATAAATTGGTCTCACTGTTTCAAACATTTTTTAAATGCATGAATGCATTTTTTAAAAATGTAAAACACTGTGATCTTGGCATCCTTTGAGGCCTTGTTTGTTTATTTTGTTTCCACAGTCTTATATTTTGCTAATATAAATTTGAACCTGTGGCTTTGATTTATGAGATATTTGCTGTCTATTAAAAATAAGGATCTCCATATTGCATCTCCACCCAAAAAAGTTTAAGGAAGTGATCTACAATACCATGATGTAATCATTATTATCAGGAATAGGTATGTCTGTGTAACCTCTTTTGTATGGATTCAGTTACATGTTAACTCTAAAGCAAATAAATTCGTGGCAATTTTGTAAATGTGAAAATAAATGCGAAGCAACGAAGTAGGATTATAAGGTGTATGAAAGGATGATGAGGTATCACAGAACAGGTGTTCTAAGAATTTTCCTGTATGATGTAAGAGTGGAGATTTTGTTCTAACATCAATAGTGATTCCAGTAGTTTTTTTAATGAATAACTGGAAATATAAATGATTACTAATTAAAATGTAATTATAAAATGGGATTTACAAAGTTTACATCATTATGAATGATATTTATATAATACTAGAGGTAGCTAGGCAGTGTAGTGTAGTGAATCTTGACTGGAATCATGAAGACCTGAGTTCAAATTTGGTCTCAGGCATTTACCTGGGTGAGTCATTTAACCACTGTATCTATCAGTTTCCTCAAATGTAAAAATGGGAATAACAATAGCGCTAGGCTCCCAGAGTTATTACAAGGATCAGATGAAATCACAATTGTAGCACAAATTAGCACAGTTCGTGGCACATAGTAGGCACTTTAAAAATCTGTATTTCAAAAAATAAATAAATGTTTATTTCCTTCCTACTTTGAAGTCTGCAGTGTGCTTTACATATGTGATTGCCTTTGACCCTTAGAAAAAGCTTAGGAGGGAAATGCTACAGTTATTTCCCCCACTTTACAAATAAGGAAACTGCGGCTGAGAAAGAGCAAGTGACTGACTTGCTCAATGTCACATACCTAAAATACGTGTCTGGGGCAGGACTGAAGTCAGGTCTTACTGGCTCCAACCCAGAAAAATGACAAAAACTTAAAACAAAGATGGTCCTTATTCTTTTTAAGCAAATTCAGCAATCACTTATCATTATGATTATTATTGTTGTTGTGGCTGTTGTGAGAAGATAAGCATAAAAATCTCTAAAGGATGTGGTTTATACTTTTGGATTCAAATTTATTGGAAAATCTCTGAGCATTGAATACTTAAAAATTAAACATAAAGTGGAAAGGCTTTATTTTTTAAACAACCAGCTATAATTGCAAGATAAAGTCACACCATTGTAAAATGAAACTCCCACTCTTAAAGAAAGAAAGAAAAAGATCTACTAATTATCCTGGTGATAGGTTATTAGCACATTTTAAAACAAGAAAAAAATAATAAGTATGTTGGCAGAAATGAATGAAAACATAATTGATGCCAATGTACACACTTAAAGACCATTTGTGGCCTCTATCTGTTGTTAGAATGAAATGCTAGGTTAACATTTTCAGGACTGTGATTCATCCCTATTCTGGTTTCTGAATGCTGATGACTCATTTATAATTCCACCCACTTAAAAAGGAAAGAAAGAATACTATAACTGCTGGTAACAGAGTGATACATCTTTATAACTTTTTTCCTTTCTAGTGATTCTATGTATTCCATATACAAAAATCTGATAGCATAGAATAACATAGTGAGTGATTTAGCAAAACCTGCAGTGTAAGGAAACATTAGAAAATCCAGTTGAGAGATTTGCCAAAAATCTAAGTGTGCTAGGCCAAATTATCCAAATAATCCTTTCTCTTTAGATGAAATAATGAGGATTTTTCTAGGATCACTTCCAGGAAAGGTACTATTATTCAGGTATTTCTACAATGCTTCAGTTATTCCGATAGGACAAAGGGATGAAGACACAAAGTTCTATTGTGCGAAATGTCAGATTAAATGACTCAACCTAGTAAACAGAGAGGAGGGAAAATAGCCCCAATATAGAAGATTAAAGTTCCTTTCCAAAATAGTTTGGTGGAATTACATGAAGGTTATTTAAACAAAAAAAAGTTTAGGACAAACTGAATTTAGTGGCAAACAATGAAAGAATATGGCTTGAGGCTAATTGCAGCATAATATTTAGCACAAAACTCCATTCACTTGCTAGCATTGCTAGGCAGAGTCCATACTTAATTGGAGATAATGCATTATTAAAGTAGACGATTTCAACTTGCTACCAAACAGAGGTCAGGACTATGATTGACTTACTTTCAATAGCACTCAGCAGTGTGCCCTGAGCATGTCACCCACTCTAAAACTCTTATATAGAAATCAGTTCATTAATATTGATGTTTTCCAGGCATTTGTATAAAGAGCTAAAAGTATTTTTGGCCAACTTTTCCACATTTCCATCCTTGAGTTCTTTTAAAATTCTTAGGTGGATATCATGATGTGCTGGGTGCTTTATATAAAATTCAGCAAACATTTTTAAGGAGGACAGTTGAGCTGTCTAAGGAAGGAAGAGTTCGTCACTATTGAACTGGACACAAAATCTATAAGTGACTTCAGTCATGGCTACCAACCAAACTGTTAATAGGTTAATCAGCTGACATTTTGAATATGTGTTCTTCCTGTACACTCTTGCTACTCTCACTTTCCACTTTCTTATTTTGTTTCCCTGAACTATGGGATTGGTAAGGACAATTGCTATACCTGTGATCAGATCACATCCTGTCATTTCTCAAAATGGAGTTCACTATTAGAAAAGCAATAATCCAAATTCTAGTGGTATCTCTATGCCCAAGTCCTAGTATGACTTTAGATAAGTCACCCAACCCTCTTGGTGATTCATAAAAGACACTTCCCAGTGGAGGATTAACAAGATAATATTTCAAAAATCCATTGTTATCATTGATTAGAGCATCTATTTTCTTCTATAGGTAAGCCAAAGAGCAGAGAACATAAATTGCATCATGCCCTTTGTTAGTCATTATGATTAATTTCATTCCAAATCCCTCCTTTCAAAAGTTGCCACTAAAGCAAAGGTGAGGTGTGGCCTGATGTTTTCACTCCCAAGTTTAGTAAGAAAACTATTCACATTCAAACATTGTAAAAGGTCATGCTTTATAATTATAGCTTCAATGAATTTTTTGTTTGTTTGTCTTTCATACAAATGACTCGCCTATAACAGTTCATAATTCTTGGCCTCCAAGTTGGTTTCATCATGTTCTGGCTATAGCACAGTAAACTATTTTATTTCTGGAACATACATTGTAATATTTTCATAGGACATGACACTGAAAAAGCCATTTAGAGACTATCTAGTCCAATATATAATTTTGGGGATGAGAAAACCAAAACCAGAGGGGTAACACAGGTTATAACTGGCAGAATTTGAACCCAGGGTCTCTGATTATAAATCCAATTCCCTTTGTACAACAATAGGGGGTCTTAACCTTTTTGTATATAATA